TCTATTCTATTCTATTCTATTCTATTCTATTCTATTCTATTCTATTCTAAAATACATTACATAATTAAAATAAAAGCTGTGGCACTAATGGCTCTATGATGTAATGATATCCAGGAGCTTAACAGCACATTTATTTGGATTCTAAAGATATTAGAGGCCACATTATCTAAAATAGTTAATAAGTTATGTTAACCCACATACATTAGTATGTTGGTTACTTATTCCCATGGCGATGTAATGCAGTGAGGATGGTTCATTCTAGGTGCTCCTTTGCTTAAGGGTGGTAAATCCTGTGCATGGTTTTGAAAACTTTAGCCTTTATCTGAGCTGCAGAATCAATGGAAAATAACAACTCGGGTGGAGTAGAAGATTGAATAGATTGTAAAGGTGTTTCAGTCTATGTGAATGTAAAGGAAAATGTTCAAGTGGAGAACATGGATGTCAGCCCCCACCAAACAGAGAAGTAATGTTGCTGTAGACTGGAGTTCATACTTTTGCAGCCCTGCAAAAGGTATCGCACAGCTTCCATCAACCATGTAAGGGAGGAAGGGGTGGAGTGGATGTATCTGGTGAAGAGGAAGCTGAGAGACGGTGCCCAGTGAAGAAGCAGTTTTAGGTTGTCATAGAGGTAATGGCTCGACATAGACATACTGCCACGCTGCTGACTTTGTTTCATAGCAGTGAAACCACCAGGTAGGAGGTTACTGCTAGAGGGAATGGCCAGGATTAAGGCAGTTTTTTGCTGTTTTGCCTTTCTGTAATAACGTGTAGTTTAAAGTCTTTTCCTTTTTTATTCCTTCTAGAAAAGTTATTAATCTTGATAAAAATGACTACAAAAACTAGTCGCTTACTGAACTGCAGAGGAGGTTAATACAAAATATCCTCAGTTTCTCTTACATGTGAAGGAGTTGCAGAATCAATTTGTTTGCAGAAGCAGAGGGATGCTTTGGTCTTAGGGCAGTGGTACCCAAGAGGGGATCGTTCTCAAGGACAGCAGTGCCAAACCATACCCTCCTTGTTCAGGTAGCTCCCAGCTGGGACACCGTTGGCACCCTCAGACCATTATTTAAGTGGAGCACTGCATGTCAGTTTTTCTGGGCTGTTCTGCTCTGGCTGGTTCTTTTAGCAGATTTGGGATGGTAGTGATTGTTAGGGAGTTGCTGAATCTGGTAGATGGTGGGGGGATTGTGTCTTTGACTGGGGTGTTGGGGTTCCCCCCTGCTGGTGTGCCTCTGGGCTTGTGGCAATGGGTGTGTGGTGGGCTGAGTGCTCCCCTGGGATGGGGCTGGGTATTGTTGGGGTTCCCACACCTGCTGTCCTTCCTTCGTGCTCCTTCATGTGTCTGTGGAGATGAGCTGCTTTTCCCATAACCTAATGGTGGCTGACAGTGGCCTTGACAGGACTTGGGAGGAATAAATGTGGGGAATGAGATGTTGAATGAAATATGACACAGCATGTCAATACTGACTAATGCCGCAGTTGCTCCAGGCTGTATATTTTTTAGTTTCATGTCCAGACGGTGTTTGGCAGCAATCAGCTGGCCATTGCTTATGGTCCATGTGCCCTGAGCTCCAGAGTAGCCGCATCAAGGGAATTCGGTTTTCCGATGGGGATTACGGGCAGTGTGGGAATGGGGGAGGAGCACTGCTCTTCTAAATAAATGTTGATGTTTTGGTAAGTTTTTATAAGGTTTCTGACAGTGTGGTATTTCTTCTTTTTTATTCAGATTCCTTTGGGACGCTTGTTCTTCCAGTAGTAAGTATTTCTTTCCTTTCCTCCTTCCTCAGAAAATGTTGACTCTGTAACTTTTCATCAGTTGGTATTGATGAGATGATGTATTTTGTGTGTGATCCTAGCTATTTTCACATTCTCAGGTGTGTGTATTTACTGAGTCCTCCTGAGAAACTCCCTACATCTCATCTCACCTGCCTTCTATACTATCAAAAAAACTTCACGACTTTCCCAAGGATCTTTAGATTTACAAGAATTTTCAGGGGAGGTCAGGACTGTCTATAACCGAGGCTCTGGTCAATCTGCATAAGTTCAGACAATTTCACGTATGCTTTCTGGTAAAAGAGCATACCTCCACAGGCAGCTGCCACTCAGGTTCTTAATGAAATACAGTTTTGAATTTTCTTCCCTAAGACACATGCTCATCTATTGGCCCAGCCATCACTCTTGGTATTGAAAAAAATGCCTTGGACTTTATGGTTTAGGAGATGGAAGCAAAAACAGAGGTGTGAAAGATGTTCTTGTCTGAGTAGATAGAGGAGAGCTGAAATAATTCAGAGCCGTTACAGCATCCTCCTTTGCCTGTTTAGTAATACTGCATCATAATGCCGTGCACTGTAAAGTGGCTCCTGTTTTCTACTGAGAGAGGTAGCTGCATTTCAGTGATGCATGAAGTAATTAATCTATGTAGCTTATAAAGCCAAGGAGTTTTCAGATCAAGTGCTCTGCAGCTTGTTACAAGTAATTACAGGATTTGAGAGCTCATTTCCAGGATCAGCACAAGCTATCATAAAACTTGAACACAGAACTTTGCTTTGTGGGTTTTTTGACTGGCTGATACTACATCTCTATTTCAGACACACCATGAGGGCTAATTAGAGCTGAAAGAATTGTGCAAAGCAATAACTGAGAAATATTAAAATAAAAATGTATTTATACACAGTCTTCTTAAGGATTTGGAAATGCACGTTCAGTGAAAGTACATAGTAAGCTAACTTGTCAACAAAAATGTATAATATGGAATTGTGAGTTGAGTATGAATCCTGAATTTACAATCTTGGGTGTTCATCTTGAAAACCCGTTCTAAAGAATTATGTATTTGTGTCAGGAAAAAAGTTTTAGCAAAGTCTTTATTTTTTTAAACATCTGTAAGTCTGACTATCCCTAAATCCAGTGGGTTTGAATTCTAATCTCAAATAAACTGTATATCTGATGAAATAATCTGGAAATGTTTGATAGATGTGTAAACAATGACAATGAGCAGCTCAACATTATGAAGACTACTAGGTTGAAATGCATCTCTATGAACTGTAAATTAGCAAACATAGAAAATTCAGTTTAAAAAAAAAGGATTAAATTAACAAGTTCCTTAATATAATCTGGCCAGGTCTTAAAGTGTTCAAGCACCTAAAACTAGGCGAGGTGAATTCCTCCCGCTGTCGCCACTATCTGAAGTGATGAAAACTGACTCATTTTTTAATAGTAAGATGTTTTTTTCATTCGGGTAGCCACAGTAGACTTGTTTTGCCCAAAGTGTAGTTGGCTGGTAGCAGAAGGTGGATAATGAGTTTCTGGTTTCAGCCGTCATCTTTTCCAGAGGAAACAGTAGCTTCCTTGTCTGAGGTGCTTGTGATGGTGGCTGGTGTGGTCAGGAGAAGTACGTGAGATGGCTTTTTTCTCTCTTACGTTAGGAGTGCCAAAATGGGGATAGTAATACCATTCACTTGGGGGATGTATTGACTAAGATAAAATATTTTCTCAGCAAGTTCCTACTGTTAAAAGCTGCCTTGCTCATATTTAGGTTGAGAAACAACTCTCTAGAGAAGGAGTTGGTGGGGCTGAGGTAAATAGTTACCATTATTTTAGCAGTGACCTTCTGGAACTGTTGTATTAGTGCAGTTTCTGTTAGCATAGATGTGTGAACCAGAAGGTGGGTTACTTTGCACCTCAGCTGTCCTAATACACTGCCCTGGCAATGCAAAATTCATTGCCTCTGGCTTTTACATCAAGAAAGGTACAACAGGCAGTTTTGTCACCATGTTGCAGGAAGGAAAGATCTTTCGAAATATAAAAAGTATAAAAATTAAGGGAGCAATCCATGCTATCTATCATTATTCATGGTAAGAAAAAGATACAGAAAAATATATGAGGTCTCTAAATGGCATTTACAGACTTTTAAACAAGAAATCAAAGACGATCCTTGCAAGTATGTTAAAATAATGCTGTAAGAGCACAATTCACTGCTATGGTGAGACAAAACAAGCTTATTTTCCCCCCATTTTAATTTTGAATGTTTATAATGTTTCCTAGACTTCTTATAGGGAATCCTGTCTGCTTTTTAGGGGGTACACCTTTTTTAGTAAATGATAATATTCGTAAATGAATTAATTTTGAGGTAATATTTGACAGATGCAGTAACTAAGGCTGTTCCTCCTATTTAATATATTCCAGAATACTTGGCATGGAAGTTGGAGAGTGTTGAAATATGTGAATCATATGTTCTTGGCAATGTGTATACAAAAACCTGCAGCTGAAGAAAATGCAGGATCTATTTCAGTGTGGTGCTTTGCACCTAAAATTTAGTTATGTAAGTCCAGATTTTAAAGGGGGAATCTCTTCTTCCTGTGTCATCATACAGCTGCTCATGAGTGAAAAAGAGAGCCTGTTTATTTTTCCCCTTCCTGATTTTTTTTTTCCTGGCTTGTTTTTAAAAACAGAAAGTCAACAGAGAGGGATGAAATGGTAGTTGATTCCTCTTCATAGGTAAACACACAGAGAAGGAAATGTATTCGATACAGACATTTGCATCTACCTCATTTGTCACCCTGTGACATTTTTTCCTGTTTGAGAATTTCCGTTACCTCACTGTGTGCTCTTAAAATGAGTTTTGACAGCACAACAGCCTTTCATTGTAGAGCTTGGTAGAATACTTTTGACGTGCTGTGCCTGGTGAGTTAACAGCTGTAATTTTCATTACCAGTGCAAGGGGAGTGCTTCATTTCTATATGTTATGCTGAAAAATGCAAGCCTGTCTGTTTTAGTTGTCTTGACCCAGAGGTTTTACTCCAGATTCACTGTTGTAACTGCAAACAGAAGCATGTGACTCTCAAGCTTTTTAGCAGGGCTACTTGTTGGAACCAGCTGTGTGTTGTGTTAAAATCCTTCTCCTTCTTCAAAGAGACACTCCTAAGCAGGTGACGGTACAGAAGCTGGCATCTGGGCTGGGATGTCATTCGTTGTCTGTGTACGCTCTGCTTGAGGTCAAATTCATGTGTGCTGCAGTGGCTCTGCTTCAAGCCTTTTGGCCCTTGTGACTGGGATTCCTCCCACCTAACTGATGCATCCGAATGATGAGCTCTAGATTTCCTCTGTCCACTGGAGAGACAGAGAGAGAGAGACCTGTGCATGGTTATTCTGATCTTATGTGATCTAAATTTCCTTGCCAGTGATGTCTGTCTGTATTTACTGCCAGCACTGAAGGAGTCTTCAATGTCTGTCCTAAATAAGTTAACCGTATAAAATGTCTCTTCCTTTATTCCATAATATTTTGGAAAGAATAGTTATTTTACTTTCTAGATGAGTTGCAATATGTGCTGTAATTATGAATCATTAAACTGAAATGAGGCAAAATCAATGAGGTTTCTATTGAAAAACAGTACCTCACTTCATGAGATCTTCATTCTGAATTTGATTTTTCTACCCCATAGGACATGAAGCTAAAGCTTGTAAGAAGAAGTGCAAGGTTTTCTTACTGTCCTGCTCATCTTGCCCGCATATAGCTTCTTCAGCTCTTTTATTTTTGGAAAATTCATTACCAAAAAGTGATGAAGTCAGAAAAAAATTAGCCCCCAAAATCAAACCCAAGAAATTTCTAAATAACTGTGAAAAGAAAAGAGAGCGCACTGTGTGTGTGTGTGTGTGTCTATGAATGGTGTATGAATACATAGATACTTAACATTGTTGAAAACCTGATTACTACTGAAAATTAGATGCAAATATGTTGAAAAGTTGCTTCTGCTAACACATTTTCAGGTGATTGTTGAAATGTCACCTTAAAGCCCTGAAATCCTCTTTCTCTTTTTGAGAATTTACATAAGTTGACAAGTTCAGGAATATGTCAGATCTTTATGTCAAATATTTTTGGAATAATAATATCTTCAAGAATATTTTGGATAGTTAACAGGGAGTCACTGTTTTCTTTTTAGCTGCCTTTGAACAGTGCTTCTGGGAATTATGAATTACTGGTGGAAGGCCATGCTGACGGCCAGCGCATCTTCTCTAACCGTACCAGCTTGATGTACATGTCAAAGAGCATCTCCGTATTCATCCAGACTGATAAATCTATGTATAAACCAGGACAAGATGTGATGTTTCGGATTGTCACCGTCTATCCTGATCTCAAACCTTACAAAGTGTCTCTGAATATATATATCCGAGTAAGTATCCACAGGAACTGCGTTATACATTGGAATTTGTTGTATGTTCCAACTTTATGTGACAAATAAAGATCATATGTATTGCTACCGAAATCTTGCTAGCAAGAGCACTCACATTTAACATGCAGCCTGACTTTTCTCCTAGGATCCTCGGAAGAAATTGATTCAGCAGTGGTTGATGGAGGAGGGTGATTTGGGCGTAGTTTCCAAAAAATTTCAGTTATCAATGAACCCTCCACTAGGAGACTGGTCCATAGAGGTGGAAGTGAACGTGAGTATTAACATTGCCAAATCACAGAGAGATTTCATTTCTCCTGATAGATGTGAATAGAATTGTGTTTACTTTGGTGAAGCAAAACCAGAAATAAGCATGAACCATGAGAAGAGGAAGTCCTTCCCTCATGGCAAACCCAAGATACTATGCAAACCTCTCAAGATTTTCAGTAGTATGTGGTTTTGTAAGGAAAGAGATAAAACCCCCCATACATATTTTATCCTAAGGTCTGTGTTTTCATTCTAAAATACAAATGTTATTTAAAAAGGGGTTTTAATATTAATATAAAAAAAGATCTTATGGAGTACTAATTTTTTTTAAGTGAAATGCCCTTATATTTATTTTGTAAGTGAATATACAGAAATTCATTGTGCCCTGCTGTGCAGCCAGTCACTGTCTCAAGGGGTGTGGAATCAAAGGCTGTCATTTACAAACCTCTGCCTAGTTTTAGGGGTGTTTCAGCAATTCATGATGACTGAGGAGTTACTGAGGAAAAAATAACAATGCAAAATAGAAAGGATGAATAGTAAAGCAGAACTATTGCATAACAAAACTGGTATGATCTAGTTTGCAGGTTGCTACTGGTAATAGTTCTATCAGTCCAATCCTTTAAGCTGTACACTCCTCATACACTGTGGAACATGTTGCAAAAATAGCCGGAGGTTTAGCTGTTCAAAACTCTGTGTGTCAGGTTTATTCAACCTGCTTTAAATGCCTGTAATTTGGGAACTCCATTTCTGACTTGGCTTGCAGTAGCCGTTCAGCGACATTTCGGAAGTACAAACAGGACTGCTTAATGTTCCCTAATAAGGGAGATGATGAGGTAGAAAGCAGAAAAACTTATGTGATCATGCATTATTTGGGAATAATATGTATCAGTACCAGTTACATGCTTGATAGATTTCTATAGGCTGAGGTGGGTGAGGGTGGTGCTCAAGTGAGTGTCAGGACTGGATTTTTTGAACAAGTTCTCAGGTGGGTGTGGAGTCGTTGCTACTGTCTTTGATGGGAGAAGTGTTGTAAGTTGTTCCTGCCCTTGTCCCTGTGCTCAGCCGCTCCTTCCCATCCCTGCACTGCTGTTCAATAGCTTCTCAGTCACACTGAGGCAGCTGTAGTAAGGCTGAGATCTAAAGCATGCCAGGGGAAGTGACCCAGATTGAAAAGCACCTCTGTGTTTTTCTTTGCCTAACCCAGACCAGCTCACTGATCTGTTTGACAGCACAGCCCCCACTCACAGCTGCATAGGTGCTTTTCTGGGGGTGGGGAAGTGTGGCTCAGGCATGGGAACAAAGGCTGGTGGCAGTGGTGGCAGTGGTAAGCTCCTTCAACAGCTCGTTTGCCAGGTGAAAAAGTGTTTGTGAAATTTTGCTTGGGCTTTCTGTGAAGTCTTGAATAATCCTTAAGTCAGGAGGACACTGCTGAAGGAACTGCAGCAGCTGTTTTCAGGATCTGAATATGAGTGCCACTCCCTCCTGAAACAAAACCAAAAAGAAAAGGAAAAAATAATTGTAAAATTGAAAGAAAAATGCCTTAGATTCATCTGGGCTAATGAAATAGCTGCGAGAAAACAGACAAGTGAAGCAAAATGTTAGTAGACCATAGGAGACGGTATTCTAAATTTTCGCCGTCTAGTGTTTACTACAGAATGTTAATGAGCATGGAAAACATGCGGCAGGGTGGGAATGTCTCTCAAGTCATGAGTAACAGGGAGAAGACAAATAAGGAACATTTTGTTCACTGTCTCTTCCAATGTATAGCTAGAGGGCACCAGGTGAAGGAGGTAAAGAGCAATTTCAAAACAATTAAAACAGCATAACTGAACTGTAGAGCACAGCACTGGCGGGTGTTGTGAATACTAAAAACTCAGGTGGGATCAAAAAATGTTTGGAAAAATTCACAGAAGTACAGTCCATTAAGAACTGTTAACTGGAAAGCCCCGAGGCTCAGGCTGGCCCAGTGTCACTGCTGGCTACCCTGGTTGATGTGGTTCTCTAGGTGTTGAACCTTGGCTGCTGCCCAAGACTGGACATTGGCCTTCATGTTAGATCTACCGGGGTACATTCTTTCCTAGGTTGTCTTTATCATATTCTATTATGAACATCTCGTTTTCCCTACTACTACATTTTTAAAGCGTAGGGTTTTAGCATTGAGTATGACATTGAATGCAGTGTTTGAGGTTCTTAATAGAGCTCTAAATGTTTCAGTGGCATGAAGAATATCCAGGGGCTAGCATAATGCCCATCACACTAGGGTATCTTTCTCTATTCACCATTGTTACAGGAGACAGTTCAAGGTGGAAAGTACTGCAAAATGCTCTTGGTACATTTAACAAAATGCTCTCTTGGGAAAAGGTAAACTTGGGCAGAACAGAAACGAGATTCTTTTTTTTCATTGACAGAGGAATGGTTAATATTTAAGAAACATTGTATTTAATAAGTGGATAAAAGGGGAACTAGGAGATAGATATCAATATAAATGAAAGTCTGAACTCTTGCATATTTGTAGGAAATCTAAAGATCCCAAGGAAAACTTGATCGTTAATAGAAGTATGAAAGTGTTTTTAAAGTCTGCTAGGAACAAAAGAAAATCCAGTGGTGGCAGAGCCCAGTAACATGAAGAAACAGTAATTATGTGGCAGAGGTAGAAGCATTTAATAGGGGTGATGGTTCTGTGTGGTTAAGTGAATCTCAGTGTGGGGAGATTTGAGAAGACCAGTGGAAGATGAATGTCCTTAACAGAAAAGAGTAAGTGAGGTAACATGGGAAACTCTACACCTGTCATCTGGCATGAGAAAACCAATGACAAAGGTGATTTGGGATTCCACTGATAAAGAATTAAGTTCTTTAAGGCTATTATGGATTTGGTTAAAAAGGTAGATTTACTGATGTAAATTTTTGTAGATTTTGTAGATTTTTGTAAAGGCTTTTCATTGTACAAAACCCTAATGAAAAACAGCAATGTATGTAAAGTCTGTCAAAGAAGGGTGGATTGATTTTTGGGCAATCGACACTCACCCAGGGTGTTTCTAATATAAACTGGTGATAGAGTTTGCAGATGGAGCCAGGGAAAAGAAAGCTCCATGGTGGGAGGCTGCAGAAGTCCCATCGGTTGACTGTATATCAAAGGATCAAATGAATCAATGGATTTATTGCTTACAGTCTGTGGGTGCTGTTACAGGTTTTAAAAGGCTTTTTAATCTAGTGGAGAAAGGCATAGTATGAACCAACTAATAGAAATTAAAGACAAACAAATTCTTTCTGGCATATATATATCTTTCATCAACAAGGCTCTTAATCAGTGGAACCAAAAAAAAAAAAAGGGAGTGAGGGCTTCTGTTACTCAATGTTTTAGCATCAGGAATGGTTGACTTTTTGGAAGATGCATTATAATAATGCAGGTTGCTGGAGTAGCTGAATACTTGAGTAACCAAACCTGAGATAAAAGCAGGTCAGGCTAAATGGTTCCTTCTGTCATTAAATTCTTTGAACTGAAAATTAAAATAGAGGAGAAAAAGAACAGTAAGTTATATAAAAAAAAGAGTTGTAGGCTTTGGGGTCCAGAAAAACCTGGCTATTCTTACAATTCTTATCCTGTGGGAATAAAACAGCAACCCCAAGCCCCACACATAGAAGCTTATGTTGTTTACTTTCAGACCCCTTTTCCTCCGTCATTCACACCTGCTTTGCTTTAATTTTCAAATTCTGTTAAAAGAATATAATTACAAAGCAATATGCGTTATTTCTGTAGCATGTGCCTATACAACATCTTACATTGGATAAGGCTATCGTGCAGAATATATTGAATAACTATTGCAATATTCACACTATTACGCTAGGTCTGTCTAGTGGGTTGTATCACAGACTGTTATTTTTCTGATAGCATGTCATACCATTGGATTAATGAAACCTGCAAGAAACCTTGCAGAATAAAGGAAAAGAACTTTCTGATGGGAAACTCTTTTTGATTCTTTTGGTCACGAGTGAGCTTATGCCCTGAAATACAAGGACATATGGGATGGGATTCAGTTTGAGGTTTAAGATGAGTGGTTGTCTGTACATAGGTGATGTGGTGGAGATTTAGTTGGTGTTCAGTGAAAGCTAGCGAGTGACCCGGATCACTCTGAGTTGATATTCCTAGCTGTTGCCTTGATATTCCTCGCTGTTCTGCAGCTGTTCTGCTGTCCAAGGGAGGTACAGGTTTTTTCTGTGTCATATATAAAGTTGTATGGATTCACCGATCCCTTCTTCGTAACAGAGGTCACTGAGAACTTGGATTTACTGCTAAGGAATACTTAGTGTAAGTCTGGCATTTTTAATAGATATGCCTACCTATCCTTAAGTAGTACAGCTAGCCCTGGGCCAACAGGGGATCCAGCACAGCTTATGGATCTACTCAGGGCTTTAGGAACCTCTTCAGATGGCAAACCCAGGCTGATCTCCGCATGACTTAGCTATCCTGATGCCACGACCTGAGCTTTCTAGTTAAATAGTCAGCTGTCCAGCCTTTCTATCTCAAGTTTCCCTCTTGTCTTTAAAGAGTGTTGTTAAGTCAGTAAATAGTATTTCCCTTCCAGTAGTTACAGATCAATTCCCAAGTGTATCGAGTTTGGATTCCTGGAAGTACTGCCTCTGAATTCTGTTTTAAATCAAGTTCTGGCTGCTTGCTGCTGTTAAACATCCTGTAGTACTTTTTAATAAGAGTTCAGGTGTTAGTACAGCTGTTCCAAGAAAACTCAAGACAGAGTAATTACAGTCTGGTTCCCAAGTCTCCACCTTGTATTTTAGTTGGATATCTTGTATTTCCTGTTGTGGAGCCTGGTGCTGAAAGGCTTTTAGTTGCTGAGTTTTAGTAGTAGGCATCTCTGACCAGAAGTTGTTCCTAGTTATAAGGCATTTTGTAATCTAATTTATGGAAGTTGTTATTAGGAAATTTATGATCAAATATTGAAAAGTAGTAATGTTTCAGGTGCAATGAGAGCTTTCTAAAATATTTTTGAAGAGTATTATATTTTTTTAAGAGCTTCAGCTATAAAGCAACTTTCAAAATCAGCTGGGGTTGATGATATATTTTACACTTTGAGTTTTTTAACTTTTGAGGTTTTATGTATGTTACAGTGTATCCACAGTGAATTCTGTGATTTTTTACTGCTAGGTCACCTACAGATTTCACATTTGATCCATTGAGTTTGAGGTTATATCATTACTTAAAAAAAGTGTCACCCTCCTTCAAAATCCTACTGTACCTAAAATCTTTGGAATTGGCTGTGTATTCGGTAGCTTGCAAATGAGCACTGATGTTTAATCAGGATCTGATAGTGTTAATACTGGTGACATTGGTGGGACTCTGCTTAGTTTCTGGAGACTGTGCTGGTGGATTTGAACAGAAGTTTGGGAATTCATACAGAATTTTATTTCAGGGTTTATTTTCTGCATGTGAAAATAAAGCACGAAAGTGATCATGAAATGCTTCCGTTAATTCTGTCTAGATAAAAATCTATTTTATTTAGCTGCAAAGCAGAAGGGCAGGAGTGTTTCTGACACGGGCCGTGAGATGGCGGTGTAGCCACGGGAATACAGCCGGTGCCAGCACTGTGCTTTTTCAGGGCCAAGCCCTGAGACCACACCCAGAGTCTTTCCTGATGCTATAACTTGTGACGCACGTAAATGTCAGAAACCAATAAGAAAATGGACCTAGACCAGATTCGTTTCAGGGACTTTCGATTGCCAAAGAGGAAGAAAAGATTTTGGGGGAACAATTCCTGTGATCTCACTTGTTGGATTAGACCCAAATGACTTCAAACAGGACTTGTTCATCACAGCAGAGCAAAATCTGGACTGTAGTTGTTAGTGATTCTTAGATGTCAGGATCCGCAGCAGATAAGGCTCCATCATCCTCACAATCTCAGAATGCTTACATGGATATCTTTTTGGCACTCTTTTCTTAATACTCTGGGCAATGTGCACAGAATGTAATAGAAGTTTTGCGGTTTAAGAAATGCTGATTTAGAGCAAAATGCTAATAGTCTGGAAGGGTGAGTGTGTTTAAGAAGCAGAAGGCATGAGAGATAAAAACTACTAGAATAAAGCAGCGCTGGAAACAAGTGGAATAGGCATGGTGTTGTTTTCCTATCTTTAAAAAAAAAAAAAATCTCTCTTGGGTTGTATATATAACTAACTGCTTGTCTCAAAAGCCAACACTCCTGGAAACTGGTTTAACAACTTCCACTCCAAAATATTTGAACAATATTTGCCAGAGAGACAGCCCTGCCCTGAGGAACTAAAATGGTACAGAGTGGTTGAAGTGCTGTTTCTTGTCCTATTCCAAACCAGTTTGGCTGAAAAGTGTGTGTTAGTGGGAAGTTTGGCTTGGTGTTCAAATCATCAAGATGACCTAGTAGGGTCTTTTCCTTTCCTTGCACTGTGAAGCACGGCTTGCTTTCTGTCATAAAGGTTGTAATTTTAGAGAAGATGCAGCCGAGAGCGCTAGTCTTGCTTTAGTCTGTTTTCTACTGCTTACAGTTCTCTTAGCTTTTAATTTTTTTTTTTTTGACTTCTAAGGTAATGTGAAACAAAATCGCATTTTCAAGGGAGATGCTTTTTCATCCTGCCAGCTGGGGTAACGTTCTGTTCATGGTTTGCTTAACAGCAAGGGTGACATATATGCTTAACATGGGAAATAAAAGATGTACAGAGAACCAGACATGAGATAAATTCACTACAGGTCATTTTCCTAAGATACCTGTTCCTAAGGTTACCCAATAGTAATCTGATTGTGGACTGCATGTCAGTGCTGTAGCATTTCGTGTTGTAAGGCTTATGATCTGCACAAATGTTGTGAAAATAGCAGATTCTGCATATATCTTTTTAAACCTAGGAATATAAATATGACAATTATTTTGGTGATCGGTGACCTAATAATGAAATCAGTAGCAATCTGATTTTTACTTTGATAGAAGTCTTTTGCTAGGAAAAGTGTAAATATAGAGGTATAAGAGGCTTGGTCCAAGATGCCTAATTTGCAAAGTCATTGGTCAGGTAGGAGAGATCAGTTATAATTGTTTCCAGCTTGCATCCTGGTCCTAGGGTTTTTCCCAGAGGAGTTCTCAGTTTATCCTCTCTTGCTACAGACACTCATTCCCATCTGACATATCTTGATGCTACCTGACAATTGGTTATCCATATTCAGTTTCCTTTGCCCCACATTTCAAACCATGTTCACTGAGATACTCCAGCACATATGATAACTTGTAGTGGTGTCACTGATCTCAGGAATAATCAAAGTAATCAAACTTCTGAGCTCCACAGCAACATAACCTCATCATGCAATTGAACAGCAGCTGACGATATTAACCTTTCAAAATAGCCACCTCCCAGTGACAGACTGTTGTCTGTCTTGATCTTTCCCCTATTTCCCAGAAGACTCTTAGGCAAAGAGGCAAAATAGGCTTTCAAAAGGAGCCTCTCCCTTCCTGTCCTTTAGGAAGTGGAGACTCCTTCGGTTTCTCAGCCCATTCTTCCAGCCCAGCTGAGCTCAGATTTTCCTCTTGGAAAATAATTGCTCCAGTGTAATCCCTGCGTCAAGCAGATCAGCTGAGATTCAGAGCTCCAGTTCTAGGCACTGCTGGTAAATGACCTCATGCCATTTGCCTGCTGATGGCAGCTTTTGGTATGATGCCGTAAAAAAAATCATTGAACGGGGATTATATGTCTGCAGACAAATGACGTACATGCTTGGTCAGAATCGTAGAATCATAGAATCGTTTAGGTTGGAAAAGACCTTTAAGATCATTGAGTCCAACCGTAAACCTAGCATCGCCAAGTCCACCACTAAACCATGTCCCTAAGCACCACGTCTACACATCTTTTAAATACCTCCAGGGATGGTGACTCAACCACTTCCCTGGGCAGCCTGTTCCAGTCCTTGATAACCCTTTCAGTGAGGAAATTTTTCCTAATATCCAATCTAAGCCTCCCCTGGCGCAACTTGAATTACTCGCACTTTAGCAAGGAAAAACAATCGAGTAAGACAACAAAAGGCAAAATTTATGTGGCTGACTACCATGACTTTTTGGTCAACTGTCATTGTACCAAAGAACAAAAATAGCTACTGAGTTTTTAATGTTCAGAGAGTGAAAAAAACTTTAAAATTAATTTCCTAATGATGTGCCATATATGGCCTGATGTACCACATCTCAAAGATATGCCAGAATATGCTTTCAGATACCCTCCTGAGGAAAATCAGGAAATAAGTGAAAAAATTAGAAAAATAGAAAAATAGAAGAGAACACAAGTAACTATATTTTATAGTTGTTTATGTCGTCCATTGATTTTTAACTAACAAATAAACAAGACAGGAAGATATAACCCAAGAGTATCTGTGCTGAAGTAAGTCTACACTGCAGACTGTAACAAAATTTTAGCTGCCTTTTGAGTAAATGAAGAACCTTAGGATTATGCAGGCTTTTCAAATGGTCTTGTCCTCTAGGTAGACACTGTAGGAGCTTCTCTTTTGTATAGAGATACTTGAGTTAATTTTAAATGAGCTAGTAAAGATACTGCTGGTAGGTTAGTCATGGTTCATCATGATGACTGTGAGTACTTATGCTAGGTAGTTTTATGCTAGCTAGCTCGGATATTTGTATTTTTATGCAGAAACCAGCCATATGTAGATGTCTGCAGATCGGAAGCTCCACAAGCTCTTGATTACATATACTTACAATCTGCTGCATGTGAGCTTCTGTGTCCTTTGTGGTGCAAATACATGCTACTGGTTCCTACAGGAGCTTCATTAACAGGAGCTGATAACGGTTGAGCCATGATTTAAAATCACATCATGTCAGAAATAGTAATTTAACTTTAATATGGGTGGGATTTGGCCTAGAAGGTATGTTAAACTTGCTAATCTAACCACAATTGTATGTATTTTCTCATATGATTTTTTTTCAATAGGGTCAAGTTCATTATCAAAGATTTAAAGTGATGGAATATGGTAAGTATTACTTAAGGGCATTTAGTAGTGACCACAACTGGTAGTTGATTCTCCATTAATTTAGACTAGTTTCCCTTGGCTAGTACGAACCTTTTGAATACTCCCAGAAAGTCTAATTTCTATATCTCTTGCTTCTCTGAGATTGACTCTGTGTCCTGGGAGAAACATCGTCTTATCAGCTGCCCTGTTTATCTTTGGCAGTTTTAATGACCTACTATTGTAGTGTCTGAATGTCATGCAATCTTTAAAAAACTTATCTTAAGCCTATGAGATGCAGTTATCGTCCCTGTTTTTCCAAGATCATGCAGGCAATGTGTTCATCCCAAAATATCTGTATAATGTCTGATCATGAAGCTTGCTGATGATTCTGTAAAGGCTGAATAAGCTAAACGTTTTATGTTTCAGTCTTACAAGCTTGTGTGCAGGCTGCTCTTACGATGCTTGTTCTCCTTTCAACAAAAAGTCTTAGTCTGGGGCATGCATAGGGTTGGGTTAAAAATGTATCTTACCTTATGTTCCTTAGGAAACTGTAGTAGTCTTTATTATATTACACGTTCTACCCTTATTATTTAAAAAAAGAAAAAGATATTATTTCCTGTGTGAATTTAATGCTTTCTTGAATTTTTTTTTTAGTTTTACCAAAATTTGATGTTATGATAACAACACCATTATACTACTCTTTGAGAGAGGAAGACATAACTGCTGTTGTCACTGCAAAGTAAGTAAATCATTAATACCATTGTCACCCTCACTCTTAAGAAAATTATTATGGGTCTCTTAAGTGTCAAAGTGAAAACTTAGGTTTAGGCTGCTAAAAAAGTGCCTTCTAGTCAAAATTAGTTGGCTAGCATCCATTTCTAGCCACTGGATTTTGTTGTAACAATGTTAGATAGGTCTTCAGACTTATAGTTAGTTTTTTTGGTCTGGTAAAGGTATTTCTAGACTATAGCCAAGGCATTTTTAACTACCTTATTCAGATAATTTCTTGAGTCTTTTGCTTATAATGTATATTTTGTGGCATTTTTTTGTTCTTATGGCTCTTTTATGGTGCTCTTCAACATATCACATCAAGGTCTGTATGTAGCGTAACTGTATTTTATTAAACCACTTGGAAAATTATTCAAACTTCTGTGCAAATCCTTCTTGATCCAATTTACCCACATTGTGGATTTGAAGTATAGGCTTCTCCTGCCTATCAAAATACCTATACCTGTAAATGGATGAAGAATTAAAAACTCTTGAGAAATTCAGAAAAGACTTCACTGTAGACTATTGTATAAATAATATTTTATTTTTCAGCTGAACAAATATCTAGACAAAAAATTTAGTATGCATTAATCTCAAATATTAATTAATTTTATTTTGGGAAGATGAGAGCCAGATAGAGTTACCTGATAGATCCATTCAAGAAGTCCTGAAATAAAAGGTCTTTTGTGGGTTATTTAATGCCATAAATACCTACCTTCTAAACAAGCACTCCATTTATAAGTGAAATGCAGAAATGATTGTTTAACAAGCTATTTAAATTAAATGTTTGGACTTTTGAGAAAAAGCTTTTTTTCCTAGAGGCAATGCAACCTGATATTATAAACCATCTAGGTTTCTCATAAGGGGCAATTTTTTAAAAAAAGTTTTCCTCGTTTTTTTTCCCCATTCTGCTTTGCTTTTGGAATCCATTATATGCTAATGTGAATTTGGTTTCCTAAGTTGTTTTGGTCTTCCACAGGTACTTGACTTCTTCATTAGGTATACTCATAAGGTATTTGAAAGTGTACCTGTCCGCTGCAATAAATCCAGACTTGGATACAAATGAATTTTCTGAGATTTGCTAATGTGAATTTGGTTTCCTAAGTTGTTTTGGTCTTCCACAGGTACTTGGCTTCTTCATTAGGTATACCCATAAGGTATTTGAAAGTGTACCTGTCTGCTGAATAAATCCAGACTTGGATACAAATGAGTTGTCTGAGATTGAATCCCATCAGTGCCAAAGTTTTTCTGATACGTCATAATTATTTATAGGGAATGACTTCATTCCTGATGACTGTTTTTATAGGCATAATGCCTCTGTATACAAAGAATTTATATGTCCCTTATACTTGTAGATGTCATAAAACCCTTTTCCTTTCTCATGTCTGGAGTATTATTAGATTAAGTTAAGTACAGGGATGCTATCCAATGGCAGTATCATTTCAAGGTTAATGGCAGCTTATTACTGTAATTAGGTCTGCTTGGAAAGACTGAGTTCAGGTGCAAGACAGTGTTGTCAGAGTTCTTCCTGTAACTACACTATTTGATTATTCCTTCCCTCTGCTTTTCAGCTTTGATATTTCTTAAGTGGCTGCCAGTCAAATCCATAATGATTAAAGTACTTAAAGTTATCACATCTGAATGTATTACTACTGATGGACTAGAATGGTTTGTGGTTTTTTTCCCCCCCTTTCTCTGTCTGAATCTGATAATGTTATGTTTTCCCTTATGTAGAACTTGGAAACATGTATCCAAAGTTTTATTACTGCTTACTGACTGCAGGTTGCTAATGGCATTCTAAGAAGTGAATATATTACAGTTTTCAGGTTTGCCACAGCTGCAAATTATGTTTGCTGTGTAATAATGCCATGATTTCTTTGGACTGTGATTACTAAGTAATTTGAGTACAAATATCTTGACATCTCTCATTTTTTGTTAGCAGCATTTAGGAAGCAAAACACTTGCACTTCCCATGTCCCATTTTAACTCTACTACATATTAGTTATGATGCTACGTTGGTGTTCTGTTCAATAACTTGCTTCCAGCTGAGCTTAATGTAGTTAATTTTCCTACAGCCCAGAATAATAGCAATAGGTTTACAGAGCTCGTGTGCAGGAAAGAACAGCACTGTGTATCTTCTCCAGGTTCTGGGCTTCTGACTTTAGTGTTGATAAACTGGTCTCAGTATTGAAAACTCCATGTTTCAAAGTACAAATGTGTTCTAGCCATGTTTGAGGCCAGGGAAAAATATTTTAGTACAATCTTTTGCCTTGAGAGCTCTTCAGGAGCCCACGCCCTGGAGGTGGTGCGTGGTTTGACTTTGGCTGATGTGTTTCAGGTACACGTATGGAAAACCAGTAAAGGGAACTGTAACGATCACTTGCCTTTCTGTCTCTTACTGGGCAAACAAGAGAAATACAACAACAACAATGGAGGTGAGTCTTCTGTTAGCAGTTTGTAGCATTGTAGACTTTAAGGCTGTGTCTCCTTTTGTAGGTTAAATATGCCTGGGACCATTCTCGAGTGCTAAGTTCAGCTGGCATGGTCTATGGAGTGACTTGCATGGATAGTGTTAAACTCTCTTTAATTTCCAGAATAAAGTGTCTACATTCAGGCTGCTTGTTGGGAATGATACTTGGCCACTGTGGTCCCTTGAACTGTGCCTGGAAGTTATTTTGGAGAGTGTTAGTTGGCCCAGGTAGAAAAACTTTCCAGGAGCCGCTGTAGCAGTGTAGGTGATGGAGGACCCGTGCCTAGGAACATTCCCTGGCCCCATGTGCACCCCTGATCACTCAACCCTGTGTTACAAGGCCAGAGGAGACCACTGCAATTGTCTAGGTGAAGCTCTAGCATGGTAGAGACCAAAACATTTTGCCTAGTAATTACATTGGAGTTACTGTACTAGTTGTAACCTGGAGATGAAATTTAAAAAGGCATGCAGTTTTGATCTGAAAACTTAAAAGTGGTGATAGATTCATGGCATCCTTTTGCAAAATCAGGCATTCTACTTTTGAGCTGTGGACTATGTTTAAAACAGGTTCAATTTCTGCTAAATGGTGTGCCTGTCATTTTCTGTTGGCTGACTTCAGCAGTTGGCTGACTTCAGTGCCTTCAGCAGCACTTAGCCTACAGAAACTCTGAGCTCAGGGATGTTGGATAGGGTATACCCCCCCTCCTCAGTCAGGGACCTGTTCATTGTATTTTTCTATAAAGCATAGGCACCACTGCTCTGGCCATGTAGAAGTGGAAAATTCTAGATATTAGGAAAAAAAAAGTAACTTTCTCCATAAGGCATTGTTGACTCTAAAAAGTAATGAACTTTTACTGGATTTAATAAAAATGGTTACTGAAAGCAAAAAAATAAAGGTCAGCATTCATAATTTTCTGTTATTGGCACTCCAGAACTTGTATGTAGGGAGAGCTACAGGACTTAAGCAGAAATAAGCTGTTGTAGATGGAAAGGTGTCCTTGGCTTTGCTGGCTCAACAATTTTTTTTTTCTACCTTGCAGATAAATGGATCTGCCAATGTAACCTGTAACAAGCTTATGTTGCAAAACTTGAATGCTGATCAGTCGTGGCACCAAGTTGACAGTGATTACACAGAGCCAATAGAAATTTTCGTGGTGGTCACTGAGTCACTCACAGGTATGTGGCTGTGTGATGCCTTCTGAGAGAAATCCAAAGAGTAGGTGGTGCTGGAAGGGCTATGAGCACTAGAAAAGCATCATGTGCTGATGGCAGTACGAACCATCTACATGCAAATATATTGTCTAAAAAAAACCATTCTCTGAACTGTTGCTTGCCTAGATATTAAATAGTTTAACCAGCTGTTAACTCAGTTGAATACAGTTCTATGCTAAATGATTTATTAAATAACCAAGAAATATGTTCAGATGGGGTCTTAAAGTCAGTGACTGATCACTTTTGATGAGAAGAGCAGGCATAAAGAATTGCTAGCATTAGCCTGAGTCTTACAAGCTTAAGTTTAATCGTAAACTTACCTTATTTATTTGTTTGTAAACCACATCAGTAGGAAATGTTCTCTGGCCCCATGTTGTCCACTCTCTACCCTCTTCTAGACCAGCTGATTTGCAAACTGAGCCTTTTTGTGAGTTCATGTTCCACTGCACCTTGCATATTAGAAAAAAATAATTTGTAAAAATTTCTGCCTGTCCCAGAAACTAGGTTTCATTACAGACTTTCTGTAGAAACCCCGGCAAGATGAAGTTGGCTGATTTGGGATTCATAAGTGTCATTCTGACATAGAGTGCGTGGAGTAGAGCACTGCGTGGTATGGCTTATTTAGCGTTGTGGAAGACAGTACCAGTACGTATACCACCTTTGTACTGATCCTTAGCTGGAAGGATGAAGAGCAATTGGAGTGGAAATGGTGAAAAATATGATAGAATTTTTTAAAAATCATGGACAGTAAATAGTATTGCTGCTAAAGGTATATGTATGTTAAAAGCATGTTGTCTAAACACATACAATTATTCAACAGGAATCTCCCAAAATTCAAGTACCATCATATTTCCAAAGCAAAGTGACTATTTTATTGAATTTATGGACTACTCTAGAGTTATAAAACCTTCTCTGAACTTCATAGCTACTGTAAGTTCTTTAGTTTTATTATGATCTGTGCATAAACAAATGTGACTTCTTCTCTTGTATTTTTGCTTAGATGCCAAAGTTTGCCTCGGATTTTTAAGTATAATTTACAGATTTGTTTTCAATTTACCTCTTTTTCATGGTACACATCGGCGAATACTAAACTTAGAGGCGTTTGCTCTAGAAAAGGATAAAGTGGCAGGGAATGCTGTAGTGTTGCCAGGATACTCTTGAGCATAGTTCATCAGCATTCTTATGGAAGAGAAATCTTTCCAGTTTCTAGCTGATTGTTTTCCGTTAGGTGACTGTGCTTTAAAACAAGGTAGTTACTGAGTCCCAACCCTCCTAATAATATTTGTATATGGAAGTGTGTATATATATATACACAGAGATATATATTTTATATAATGTGTATATATATAATTAAGCAGCTGTTACAAAATTCAGTAAAACTCATCAAACCACATTGCTCTCAAGTGAAAGTGTCTTTTCTGCCTTCTGTCCTATCTTTCTCATACCAGCTGCAGTCCTCTCACAGAAGTATTTAATGTTCTTCGTGCTGTCCATAGTCTGCGTTCAGTATTTCTACATTTAGCAGAGGTTGCATATTGCATCACTGCATTTTGCTTGAAAAGGGGAATCGACTTTATACTTCTTGAGCCTTTATTGTATAGAAGTCAGACCTAAATACCAATAAAATAGACTGAATATACACTTTCAGAGTAGATTGGCTCAAGCCATACCTTTGTGCTAGCCTGATCATTTGGGTCTTTGGTTTTCGTCCTTTTCGTTTTCCTTGCCAGCATCCCAGTTTGACTCCAGCTCTGACCTGCTTCTTCTTCCTCTTCCAAAGATGAGCTGAGTGAGAGGTAGCTGAGGCATTTAGCAATGCTTGCAGCTGGCAGAGAAGAAGGTATCAGTTATGCTTCCAGAGGAGTGTGAAGGAACAACTGCTGCTATTACTAGTAAGTGGAGATCTGCGTATGGTGTACAGAGAGAGGATAGGAAAATAATGGCAGAGGAGGTAAGGTGACGGAGTGACAGACTTCTGGATTGAAAAAGAAAAGGGAAACATTAGTTCGGTGCTTTTAAATGTAGAAGTTGAGTTTTTGGAGTGTGTAATGCAGAAGGAGAATGGTTTTACTATGGATGAGAATCTGCTTGAATGTGGGAATAAAGGTTGATGTAAGTTGTAGTGCTGACTGATGGATGCTGGAGTGAAGAAGTTGCAGACTGTCAATTTTGGGCCTGTTTTAAGTCTTTTCTTCAGCTCATTTGATGAATCCATAAAGACATCTGACTTGGCACCATCTCTGCTCATCTGACACATTTTCCTGCACATGATGTAATGTTAGGTTGTCCTTTGTTGTGGTGGTGAGATACAAGTGATAAAATTAAATACTCAGTCTGTAGGTAGGTTATGTATAATTTGCCTGAGAGACAAGCATTTTCAACAAGAAGGGTAATTGAGAGAGCTGAAAGGCAGGTCACCTTTCAGTTCCATCTGCTTTGCTTCTGCTCTTTTTTTACTCCCTGGAGTTATGAATAATTTTGTTCTTGGCTGACTTGCCTACCTGCAGTGCTCACAAGGGATTAAAAATAAAGTTACTGATGTGTGAAAAATCTGAGGATGCCCTTATTTTTTTGGTATGATGTGAGTGCAAATATATTGTTACATGTTATGCGTTGTGCATTTTAGCTTTACCCTGTTTGATGGGTGTTTTCTTTCTTTTTGTTTTTAGCTAAAGGTGACACGTTCTGATAGCAACCATCTGACAGCTGAAGAGAGGCAAAATCTTGTCACAATCACTGCACAACAGTCAGACCTGCTTTTTCACCACTCTTCACTTTCTCACCTTGAAAATGAGGCAACAGAGGAGAGAAATCTGACAGTCCATGTCCTGAATTACACGGTCCCAGAAAATGGAATAATTGATATTGAGTTTCCAATCTTGTCTGATACAAAAACTCTGAGAGTTCAGGTATTGCTTTGCAATATGTTGCTTTGGAGCAGCGACACACCAAATTGAGCGGGCTGTGATCAATGATATGCTGTTCCTGCCATCTGCAACAGCTGATACGTCACCTACTGTTATTTTCCTTACCTCATATTCGTGTTAGAGCTGGAAGGAAAGTGACGCATCCTGTCTAAATGTGATCTAATAATTGCACCAAGATAGCAAGGGAAAAAACAAAACAGATACCCAAAGCAAGAAGTAAAGTGGTCTTGTACTGCCATTAAGGCTACCATGCTCTTGTAAACAGTACCATATATGTGAACATCACACAGATTTTGCTGTTTTGCTAAGAGCTTTGTTTTGCATTGCCTCACAGGCAGAGTTCCTCAGCAGTAGGACCGACATAGGTGTTTATGATGTGTTCAGCTCCCCCAGCCAGACGTATCTCCAGGTTAAAACAAAGAGCCAGGATATAAAGGTACAGTCTGACACAAAACTTGCCAAGATAAAAACCGTTCAAGTTACTCATTATGTTTCCATACTCATCCATATGAATCGTATGCTTTTCCTAGGCTGGAAAGCCTTTTGAGCTGAGCATTGCAAGCAACAAGCCAGTGAGAGAGTTCCACTATCTGGTAAGTTACTGGTTTTACATATGGGGACAATCCAAGATGGCTTTTACCAACTTGAGAAATACTCCAGTGAGTGGAATGTGATTGAATGTTAGAGCATTTTTTATTGTGCTTTGTGGAGAGGTGGCCCAAAAACTTCCTTTCCACTAGGATGGACCTTTTTGAAAGAGAGCTCCATTTCGCTACCTAGCAGAAATGCCCCTGGCACTGTAAGGAGGTGCCCTCTGGGAGCACTGCCTACTGAGGAAACAGATGGTCCAGTGGGCGGGATGGCATTGTTACAAGGGAACTTCATAGGAAGCATTTTAAAATAAATGGCTTGGGTAATGGCTTGTTTAATGGCTCGGCTGCTGTACTGTGTCTTACAGCATCTGGATTGAAGGGTTTATTATATATACCATCATCAGTCTCCCATCCTGTCCTTAACACATGCCTGTCTTGTGCACAGTCTACACCATAATGATCATGATAACTACAATTCTTTTTCTGTCAGAGACTTTAATAGTAAACTGAATAAGGAAAACCTTAGGACTGTATAAAATGTGGGCATTCATGTGTATTTTCTAAAATAGAAACTCTCTAGAAGATTTAAAAAAAATCAGGTCCATGCAGTCAAAGGCAAGGAACTGCCCTTCATGGCTCTGTCTTCATTAGTAAGTGGTATGGTCCAATAGGAACAGATGTAGAGTGAAAAAGTTGATGCTGTGGGCCTGAACTCCAGGTATTTCAAGGCACCTTCAGACTAATTCTAATCTGATCTGGTAAAATGAATGCCTGTTTTTAACTGGAACACGTTAGTGGGCCCCAGTTCACACTCTCCATGGTGCGAACCAAAGTGTGGTAGGTAGGTGTGTTTGGGAGATTTGCTTTTAAAATTATATTTCTGATCCAAACTCAAATGCTATTATAGATGACCCACATGACGCAGGTGTATTACTGTTGTATTTTTATGTTCTCATAGCACAATGTTGTGCTGTGCACTCATCATTGTAGTTCTTTACTTGTCCATAGTGATACAGGTATTAAAGCATGGAAAAAATCTATTTTTAATGTTTAAATATTACATTACCTGTAATGTAATGCCTGTTTGATATGCAGTCTCATAGAGCTGGTCACCTACTTAGTAAAAAAAAAAAATTACAGCTATATGTCTCTTCTTTTAACAGCTATTTGTAGAAGGAATTGTAGAGCTTATGACATATTGAGATACCAAAAGATTGTTTCATTTTTCCCTTTCAGGTGTTATCTAAGGAACAAATTATGGCTTTTGGCACAAAGGCTGCAAAAACATTCACTTTAACAGCAGAAAATTCCTGGGCTCCTGTGGCATGTATACTTGTATTCTACATTGATGAGCTTGGAGTGGTTGTAAATGATGCTCTCACTGTCCCCATTCAGCCTGTTTTGGATGACAAGGTAACTATATTGAACTTGAATCCGAGACCATGGATTTGTCTGTTTGTTGCATGGTAAACAGTATTTTAGATAATAGGATTGTAAATGTAAAAAAATCCTCATTGAGGATCTAATCTGAGGTTTGTGTAAGTCCTTGGAAAGACTTTTGATAATACCAGTGCAGTTAGGGTCCAGCTATTGAATATCTGAAAGAAATTTCTACTATCCCTATGTTTTCCACATAAACAGACGCGCAGCCTCTCCTTGTGTTTTTAATAGTTTGGTCAATTACTGAGCCAAAAATTGCTCTGGCCAATATAGTGGAAAGGTACTCATAAGTGCTCTAAGTGTGGGACTGTAAAAGTTTATGAAGACCTTGTTCTAGCCAGGCAGTGGTCACATTGTACGTGGTGTGTCATCAGTGAATGTGACTGGTGTTTGTGTTTCATGTGACCGTGCATACTTTAACTCAAAAAAGTTTGAAGAGGAGTGGGAAAACTACTATTGCAGCAATGAATTGATTTTTCCAGCTTACTTACCAGGATGAGATTTGGTCCTTTGTGCAAATAAAAGCCTCACTGTGACTTTTTACAGGTGAGACCACCAAAGGCTCTTGATGGGTTCAAATTCTTCCTCCCCTATGGAAACTTTAATACTTATAACCAGACATCAGTAGGGAGGCTGTTTGTCTTACTCCTGCATGAAAAAATTCTCCATTTGCTTTATGATTTATCCAAAATCAGGATATGAGTTCTGTTATCACAGGATAAGGAACTGGAGAGGCAGGATGGTGAGAGAGCTGCAGGCACATGTTTGTTGATTATGGTTATTACGTACCAGTGTCTGAAGAATCTAGATAAATAGAAAACAAATAAGATAATTCAATTGAGACTTGGGAGTTTTAGGGTAGATACAGGAAGATATTTCTAATGAGGAAGGCATAACAGTTTGGTTCAGCCTTCTGGAAACAAATTGAAATCTTTCCACTAATTGCAGTGTCCACAAATAAGATGGCATTATATTTTGTAGCAATGAGATAAGGCCTGATCTTGAAAATACCAGTTTGATTAAATGTAGTTTATGGATGAAAAACACAAAGAGCAACTGACGTCATCTACCTGGACTTGGTGCAAAGCATTTGACACTATCTCATGTGACATCTTTGTCTCTAAATTGGAGAGACATGGATTTGATGGATAGACCACTCAGTGGATAAGGAATTGGCTGGATGGTTGCACTCAAAGAGTTGCCGTCAATGGCTCGATGTCCAAGTGGAGACCAGTGATGGGTGGCGTTCCTCAGGGGTCGGTATTGGGACCGGCGCTGTTTAACATCTTTGTCGGCGACATGGACAGTGGGATTGAGTGCACTCTCAGCAAATTTGCTGACAACAGCAAGCTGTGTGGAGCGGTTGACACGCTGGAAGGAAGGGATGCCATCCAGAGGGACGTTGACAGGCTTGAGAGGTGGACCCGTGCAAACCTCATGAAGTTCAACAAGGCCAAGTGCCAGGTCCTGTGCGTGGGTCGGGGCAATCCCAAGCACAAATACAGGCTGGGCGGAGAATGGATTGAGAGCAGCCCTGAGGAGAAGGACTTGGGGGTGTTGGTTGATGAGAAGCTCAACATGACCCATCAATGTGCGCTCGCAGCCCAGAAGGCCAACTGTATCCTGGGCTGCATCAAAAGAAGCGTGACCAGCAGGTCGAGGGAGGTGATTCTGCCCCTCTACTCTGCTGTGGTGAGACCCCACCTGGAGGACTGCGTCCAGCTCTGGGGCCCCCAACATAAGAAAGACATGGACCTGTTGGAGCGGGTCCAGAGGAGGGCCATGAGAATGATCAGAGGACTGGAGCACCTCTCCTGTGAGGACAGGCTGAGAGAGTTGAGGTTGTTCAGCCTGGAGAAGAGAAGGCTCCGGGGAGACCTTATAGCAGCCTTCCAGTACCTGAAGGGGGCCTACAAGAAAGCTGGAGAGGGACTTTTTACAAGGGCATGTAGTGATAGGACAAGGAGTAACGGCTTTAAACTGAAAGAGGGTAGATTTAGATTAGATATAAGGAAGAAATTCTTCACTATGAGGGTGGTGAGGCACTGGAACAGGTTGCCCAGAGAAGTTGTGGATGCCCTATCCCTGGAAGTGTTCAAGGCCAGGTTGGACGGGGCTTTGAGCAACTTGGTCTAGTGGAAGGTGTCCCTGCCCATGGCAGGAGGGTTGGAACTAGATGATCTTTAAGGTACCTTCCAACCCAAACCATTCTATGATTCTATAATATACAAAGAGGATGAATAATTGAGATGATAAATTATGAGAATTTAATATCAACCTTACTTTATTTGCTATATTTCACTGGATAGTGAAAAAATGTAAGATAAGGAAAGAACTAATTTAAGAGGTGTTAAAATTTCAAGCTATTTCCATTTCACCATTTCAGTGCTAGCCACTGAAATTAATTCAGTACTGTGGAAAGCTACTTTCTCTGTAATTTGTAGCCTTGCCAAGTATTTAATTTCTGTAAATGAGTTGGTAAAATCAAATATACAGAGCTGCAGTGCCACAGTGTACCCAGAAACAAACCATTTTTCTGCGTGAATCGGTCTGATGCCCATTTACAGTGAAGCACATGGTGCTAATCCCATTTAGGTTGGCAACATTAATGTGTTTGCTGTTGCTCTGTGATTTTCATACTGAATGTGCTTGGAAGATACCATTACACAGATTTATCAGAGGAAGGGTATGATGGGGCTGTAGATTCAGACATCTAAATACATGTATTTACATGTAGGGTCAGGATTCAGTGGCTTAAGCACAGACATCTAGTGTCCTCCAAGAGACTACAGGGTATTCAAGATGTTATCACGGGACAGGTGGATGTTTCAAAGGTCCTATGGGAGACCTATCCCTTTCTGAAATGGGAGCTGAGGGTCAGAGAGCGTGCTGTGGGACATCTCACGTGATTCCAGGTGACTTCAGGTGATTGAGTCTCATCTCTGTATGTGAGTTATTTGTCTAAACTCAGTTTATGGAGAATCAGTTGCCCCACAAGAGTGTGGTTTTAAGTTATTCTTCCTGGACTGCCTGACCAATCTAGTGGCCTTCTATGATGGAATGACTACATCAGGTGGACAAGGGAAGAGATGTGGATGTCGTCTATCTGGACTTCTGTAAGGCCTTTGACACAGTCCCCCACAACAGCCTTCTCTCTAAATTGGAGAGATCTGCATTTGATGGGTTGACTGTCCGGTGGGTGAGGAATTGGTTGGATGGTCACATCCAGAGGGTAGTGGTCAACGGCTCAATGTCCAGATGGAGATTGGTGAGGAGTGGTGTCCCGCAGGGGTCCTTATTGGGACCAGTACTGTTTAATGTCTTCATCAGTGACATAGACAGTGGGATCGAGTGCACCCTCAGCAAGTTTGCAGACGACACCAAGCTGAGTGGTGTGGTTGACACGCCAGAGGAACGGGATGCCATCCAGAGGGACCTGGACAAGCTTGAGAAGTGGGCCTGTGTGAACCTCATGAGGTGCAACAAGGCCAAGTGCAAAGTCCTGCACCTGGGTCGGGGCAACCCCCAGTATCAATCCAGGCTGGGGGATGAAGGGACTGAGAGCAGCCCTGCCGAGAAGGACGTGGGGGGACTGGTGGATGAAAAGCTGGACATGGGCCGACAATGTGCGCTCGCAGCCCAGAAGGCCAATCGTATCCTGGGCTGCATCCGAAGAAGCGTGGCCAGCAGGTCGAGGGAGGTGATTCTGCCCCTCGACTCTGCTCTGGTGAGACCCCA